TTTTTTAAAGTAAAAAAGCAAAGGACAATAGGAGAGCTATAAAAAATGAATCTACTAAGATATGAATGCTTAAGAAATCCTGAAGATAATTTGACAGAAAGATGTGTGGTGAGAGGGGTTTTGATCTGATCTCAGACAAAAATAAAATGTGTGGTCCTCCTCATTTTAAGTTGTCAGAGATCTTGGCTGAATTCTGTTTGTGTCCTAAAGTTTTGTATAAGGTACAAATTTGGAGGGTAAAATCGGTTATTTGGTTGAGGTAACACCCCAGAAATGTGTTGGAGGTGTTGTTTGGCCTCTGTTTTCTCCTGAAATTAAAATGGAAGAAGAGAAATTTCATTTAAAGATGGAATTGATCAATATCAGAGAAAAAGAAAGGTTAGGAATAATCTCAGACACTTCATATTGAAAAGAGGATGAGAACCTGTCTTGGAAAAAAACAAAAAGTTATAGCAAAACTTCTATTTCATAGGGAGATTTGTTAATCTGCCACCTAAAGGCAAGCCAGGGCCCTTTGTTCCACACAACAGAATAAGGACCCTGAAAGGAATCCAAAGAATGTCAAGGCTGCCTTCCCATCACACACCCAGAATGTAGGAGCCCCATGAGCATTGGGCCACCACAGAGAAACCATGGTGGTCTTATGACTGTTGAAGTAATGAGGTCAGGTCTCCCACCCTGTGAGACCCATAAGCATTTGATTGAAGTCTGGGGGAAACTCAAGCATCGGTCCAAGGCACAGTACTGCCATGGAGGTGACCATCAGTGTAGTATCCTCCATCTCAGTGTGTCCAGTACGGGGGCTGAATACCCAAACAGTCTGGAAATTAAGCTTGTGACACCAGGGGAGAAGAGCCCAGAGCAAATAGCCAAGAACATTAGCCTCTAGCACTGAGGTTTAATGTACTTTTACTGTTGCACTGGTCCTTCTCCCTTTTGTAGTTCTCCCTTTTGGAATTAAGGTATTTTGGAAGCACATGGCATGTGTACTTTAACAGGTTAATAGTTGCAGAGCCATTAACCCCCAAGAATTTTCCTATTGAATCTCACCCATAGCTGAATTAGATGATGTTTATGTAGGATTCTGGATTTTAGGGTCTTTAGTTGAGCATAGGTGAGATAAGATTTTTTGAGTTTACTGAGAAAAAACTTAATCTCTTTTTCATGGAAGATGCACATGTTTTTCTAGGAACCCGAGATGCAATTCTGTAGCTGCAATGTGTCCTCATAACATTCATATGCTGACATTCTCACCCTCCAGATGATAGCACGAGGTGGGAACCTGATAAGAGACTAGGTTATGAGGATGTCACCCATGTGTTGGTGATAGCACCCTTTTCAAAATACTTCAGAGATCGT